GAGTCCCCGCGCGTGCTCCTGAGTCTGCTTGAACAGGAGTCTGCGCAGGAGTCGGGCCCTAGCCCTGATGGTCCAGAAATGATGCCCCAGGGTGGTGTCATGGACCAGCAGTGTAGCTGCGATGGAGCTGGACCAGCTTTCCAGTGCAAGACATTGGGGATGAAGAAGGCTGTGCACTGGAAAGGTCGCCAGCTACACAGTTGCTCTGGTCTGGTGTGAACTTCATCCCTATTGTCCCAGTTCCACTGATTTAAACTGTACTTGCAAATGGTCACGTGCAGGGTGCCTTTGTTTCCCTCAGGATCTCCTTGAAGGCTTGCCAGCGCAAAACAAAAGCTAGCCAACTTCAGCTTGGGGCAGGTAGCTTCTGATAGAGACCCAGTCTGTGCGTGGTGGGGTGGGCTGCAGTTGAGCGCTTGCATGTCGCTGTCAGTTGGCATGACTGTTTCTTATTTGCAGGCTTGTGGCAGGAGCCCCCAAAGCAGACTGGTCTGCAAATAGCTCTGTGGTCAATCCAGGAGCGATTTTCAGATGCAGGATCAGGAACAATCCAAATGGCACTTGCGAACAGCTCCAGCTGGGTGAGTCCAAGGGTGGTGCCCTTGCACCTGAAAATGGCTTTCGTTTCCACCTGAAAATGGTGTTACTGCTTCAGTAAAACAGCTGCAACATTCTCAGCAGCTATAATTAAATACAGCCAGAAAAACCCCTTAGGTATGTATATGTGAGTGCACACATGTTGGATGTTCCCTAACAAACAACAGTCACAACTGGCTAAATGAGCAAGTAGGAGAGAGTGGGGTTTTTTCCAGAAGCAAAGAGAAATGGTTCCCTTAATAAATATTCTCTCCTGCACTCTTTTGCAAAAAAATAGATTTAAACAATTCATCATTGTGAAATATCAGCAATATAGACCAGTTTTGATTTGACTAAACAAACCTTCTTGATGTTGGTATATTCAGTCTAGTGATGAGTCTCCACGTTCTCTTGTATCATTTTGATGCATCGATTAGAATTTATATTTAACTTTCCCTAGCATTAAAGACCAGTGCTCTTATAAATTTGAATGACCAATAAATAATTATTTAAAGCATGGATCCTAAAACAGCTGGCTTTTCTTAGACTAGAGAATTCCAGCATAGTTTGTCCTTTCCAAAAGTATTCCACCTCTTAATCCACACTACAGTTAAATGGCAAGACAGGCATTTTTACACACAGATTTCTGGTAGATCTGGGCTGATTTTTTTTTTTTTTTTAATTAATAATAATTTTAAAAGGTGTTTTGGAAAGCAGAAATATTCTGCAAATTTAGGTTGAATTCACCAAATAACTAGGCAAATGCAGAAAATTTGGAAAATGTCAAAATACTTAATTTCAGCACACTTGTTAAAATAGTAATTGAGGAAATACCAATATTTTTGACTTTTCAAAACAAGGGAAATTTTGTTTAAAATGATCTAAATTTAAATAATGTTGTAAAGCAACCTGAAGCAAAACAATTTTTTTCATTTCATGTGGTTTAAATACTTCAAGTTGACATAAGAAAAAAATGTTTGGTTTTCTCATTTAGCTGAAGACCCAAAAACTGTTTTCAGTTTAAACCAAGTTGATTTTTTTTTTCAGTTTAACCGCTGGGATGAGAAAACGTTAATCGCCCAGCTCTGGGTGTCAATCGCATACATACAGCTGTGGTTATCTAATTCCAAAGTGTATGACTTTGTAAAAGTTTAAACAATATGTCTGTTTAAGATTACAGGTTGTTAGGAACATATCGGCAGAGTTTTCTGCTTTTAATGTCATTGAATAAAGTCCTCTTCAATTTTTTTATCCTGTTTATTTTAAGACCTGCACGAGACTTAGTTTAGCTCCCTCTTCTTCTGCAGTGCAGGTCTTCCATAACTGTCCTATCCCATTGAAATTCTCAAACTATCGGAGGTGGTTAGGGAGCATGGGACACAGCTTTCAAAAACTTTCAAACCTAAGCTTTAGAATTAATTTTTGTCAGAGACAAGGATCATGGTTTCAGAACAAAATGAAAATTCTTTGTGTTGACATACCTTTTCCTCTGTTAATCCTGCACACATGTACCACTATTATGGCACCCTCAAAACATATAGTTTATTGATCTACCTTAGACTTCTTT